ATATAAACAAATGGGATCATATAAAACTAAAAAGGTTTTGCACAGCAAGAGAAACTATCATTAAAATGAGAAGATGCCCTACTAAATGGTAGAAAATACTTGTACATAATATATCTGACAAGGGACTAATACCAACATTTACAAAGAACTCAGGGAATGCAACAAAAAAGAAAACAAAGACTCAGTAAAAACAAGGAAAGAAGAACTAAATAGTCACTTCTCCAAAGAAGATATTCAGGTCACCAACAGGCATGTGAACAAATGCTCTTCAGCATTCATCATGAGGGAAATGAAAACACAGTAAGATAGCATCTCACACCTGTGAGAATAGCCCATATCAAAAACCAGAAACAGGTATTGGTAAGGATTTGGAGAAAGTAGTGGGAATGTGGACTGGTCCATTCTCTATGGAAAATACTATATGGCCTTTTCTCTCATATTAGAAATAGATTTACCATATGATCTAGTAGTTCCTCTCGTAGGTGTCTACCAAAGAATGCAAAAACGCTAATTCAAAGGGCTGTATGCATGCCTGTGTTCACTTTAGCATTTTTTTGTAATAGCCAAGTTGCTGAAACAACCTAAGTGTCCAATAAGAGATGAATGCATTAAGAAGATAATGGTATATAAACACAATGGAATACCACTCAGCTATGAAAAATGAACGTTTACTTTTTATGATCTTCCTTCTATTTTTTTTATAACTTCATATTACTAAGCAAGCTGAATGGTAATAGTATTCACAGGGGGAGGGGAGAAGGTAGTGTGAGATTCAGCAGCTGGTAGGACTGTAGCCCTTGTCACTTATTAAATGTACTACCCACTTTAAAAATGCAAGACTTTCATAAAACTCTAAATGATTTACATGTTGACAGAACACCCTATACTCACTCTGGGGTTTGTTTTTTTTTCTTTATGAGTCTTGCATTTTGCTTGAACTTTGGCTTTATTTTTCATCGAAAATTTATTGTTGTTTTTGTTCCCCTGATATTTTTTTCTGAAACTGCCAATGTTGCCATTCATGCATCTGGAGTGAAAATGTTGTAAGACCAGCAAAGGGCATTATTAAATTTACGTTGTAGGGAGGTTGAAACAACAGATTTGGATCCACAGTTACTTCCGAAATAACTTCATCCTGTGAATGCTGTTAGCCTTTTCCAAAATGTTCATTTATAAACACCTCACTGTTGTCAGACCCCTGGTAGTCACTCAGCTTGTAAGTGACATAACCAACTTCTCAGATTCTCCATTAAAACTATTTACCTTCTGTTTTGGAGAAATAATTCATCACTACGTATTCCAAGTCAAAGGACCTAGTGAACAGAAGAATATCTAATAACGTTAAACTGTAAGACCCTGCGCCCAAAGGGTCTGGTGGAGGGTGCAGTGTGCAGTGTGTTCCTCTGAGGTTTTGGCAGTTTTTATGCTTAGAATAATAATAAATGTCAAATAATCTGAAGCAATTTTAAAGGTTTCCTGAACATCCCCAAACATGCTCTGGTAGTTCGTAGTCCCCTAGGTGACATGGAGCTGTATGTTAGTAGATGCCATGTCTTTGCATGCAGGACTTGGGTAACTTAAAGTGGTAGATAGCGAAGGAGATAGGCAGGTAACAAAGACATGGCATTGCCGATGAAGGTGTTTTACTCACAGATGTACCAGGGTACAGTTTCTTTTTGAGAGTGGGGAATGGGGTGGGCAGACAAGAAGCTGGGTCAGTGCTAGAAGAAACTGCTGTTCTGCCACTAAGTTCCCGGCATCACGAAGCCATAAGAAGCAACACTGGGATTAAGGATAAGAACTTGATTAGTCATCTTTAGGAGTCTTTTTTCCTGATTACTAACTTAATAATTTGATGGAAAACAAGTTTCCCTGGGTTTCCTCCCAGATGCTGAGGCTGGCCACTAAATAGGACGCTGGACCCAATTTTACACTGGCCCCCCAACTGCACGCCCAGATTCTCACATCCCCAGAACTGAAAACCAGGATTGCCAACTGGAGAGCCTCCATGTGACTTGGCTTCCTCACAGCATGGCAGCTGCAGGGCGCTTGCCTCATTGTTCACGGCTCCAAGTTCAAGTTTTCCAAACAACAAGGAGGATGTTGCATCTCCTTTTCAGACCTAGTCTTAGAGGTCATGGAATGTCACTTCTATTATGTTTGTTTGGGTATGACTCACAAGTCCACCCAGACTTAGGCGAGGGGGCACGGACTCCACTTTTTAAAGAGCCACGTTATATATAAATGAATGGGCTGTTACTGTTAAAAGAAATAGAAGAAGACACAAAGAAATGGAAAGACATCCCTTGATCATGGATTGGAAGAATAAACATTACTAAAATGGCCATCCTACCAAAAGCAATATACAGATTCAATGCTATTCCAATAAAAATTTCAGTGTCTTTCTTCAAAGAAATAGAACAATTATTGATGAAATTCATATGGAATCACAAAAAACCCCGAATAGCCAAAGCTCTCCTAAAAAAAAAGAAGGGAATGGAGGAGGCATCACACTCCCAGACTTCAAACTTTACTACAAAGCCATAATCATCAAAACTGCATGGTATTGGAACAAGAACAGACACACAGACCAATGGAATTGAATAGAAAATCCAGAAATAAACCCACAGATTTATGGTCAACTAGTCTTTGACAAAGGAGCAAAGACTATGCATTGGAGCAAAGAAAGTTTGTTCAATAAATGGTGCTGGGAAAACTGGGTCGCTACATGCAAAAGAATGAAGCTTGACTACTACCTAACACCATGTACAAAAAACAACTAAAAATGGATTAAAGAACTAGACATAAGACATGAAACCATAAAATACATAGAAGGAAATATCGGCGAAACACTCCATGACATGCACATCAAAGACATCTTTACAGACACATCACCCAAAGCAGTAATAGTGAAGGCAAAGATAAACAGCTGGGACTACATCAAATTAAAGAGCTTCTGCACAGCAAAAGAGGCAATAACAAAAACAAAGAGAAACCCCACCAACTGGGAGAACATTTTTGCACCCAACACTAATGATAAAGAACTGATCACAAAAATCTACAAAGAGCTGATGAGACTCAACAACAACGAAGAAAATAATCCAGTCAAAAAATGGGCAGAAGAGCTAAAAAGAAATTTCTCTGAAGAGGAAATGCAGATGGCCAACAGACATATGAAAAAATGTTCACCATCACTTGTAATCAGGGAAATGCAAATCAAAACTGCCATGAGATACCATCTTACACCAGTGAGAATGGCACATATTAAAAAAACTAGCAACAACAAATGTTGGCGCGGGTGTGGAGAAAAAGGAACTCTCCTGCACTGCTGGTGGGAGTGCAAACTGGTCCAACCACTATGGAGAGCTGTGTGGAGATTTCTGGACCTACTAAACATAGAGCTTCCATACGATCCAGCAATTCCACTCCTAGGTATTTACCCAAAGGACACAGAAACATCCATTCCAAAGAGCACCTGCACCCCTATGTTGATAGCAGCACTGTTTACAATAGCTAAGCTATGGAAACAACCCAAATGCCCAAAAATAGATGACTGGATCAAGAAGATGTGGTACATATATACCATGGAATATTACTCAGCATTCAAAAAAGATAAACACATGCCATTTGCAGCAACATGGATGGCGCTGGAAGGGATCATGCTCAGCGAAATAAGCCAGAAAGAAAAAGAAAAATACCGGATGGTCTCACTCATAGCAGGAATCTAGAAAACTTAAATAAGGGACCAGGAAAAAGAATAACTATAAGAAGGAAAATATCAAAATCAACAAATAACTATGAACAAGAGACACTCTATAGGGGGTTGGGGGCGGGGAAAGGACGGCTTGGGGTAATTGGACTTGGGGTAAGGGGGTTGTAATTGTATGGGGAATATAGAAATAAAATTTAAATTAAAAAAAAAAAGAAATTAGCCAAAAAAAAAAACTTAACAAAAAAAAGAAATGAAAAAAAAAAAAAAGAATGGACTGTTAGGACCATTTTTGGAAAATACAATCTATTGCAGAACTTAACTAATGTTTTCTCTTTCATGCACTCACTTCTGTATGTTCTCTTTCAGTCCCATAAAATTTAAATATAAACTGATGATTCTCAAATTTTTCTCTCATCCAGCTTCTACTCTGAGCTCTAGATATGTATATTCAGCTATCTGCCTGGCATCTCCCCAGTCTCTACCTACAGATCCCAGCAGCATTACCCCCACACCCCTCCATCCATTCTGATAATCAAAAATGTACACAGATATTGCCAAATGTCCCTTGGGGGGAAAATTAACCCCAGTTTAGGACCATTATTTTAAAATGATTTTGTTTGATTAGTAATAATGCCTACTCACTAATATTAAACAGTTTTTTTAATTAAACAGTTTTAATTGTAGTTCACTTGTTCTTCTTGAAGTTTGTGTCTTTGGTAGTTTGAAATCCATAAACATTTTAATGGAGAGCTTCTACCCTTTCAGAAAGTTCTGTTTGTAGCTGCTCTTTTTAAAACTGTAGGTTGCTAGCATGAATTTCCTTGCTGGTATGAATGAAGCCACAGGATAAGAGAAAGAAATACATATGCACTGTTATAATTAGTATGTCTGTTTCAGGCGGCATATCAGTTTACAGTCCTTGATCTTTGTGTGTTGAAGACAAAAGAAAGATTACTTTAGGAACAAGAATTCAGCAATGAATTGTAGGATATTTTTGTCAAGTTAAATTAATCTTTCTTTTGTGTTAAGCCTTTTATTTCAATCCATCTCGTTGAGCTTTCATAGAAAATACTCTACATGTTTGTCTTATCCATGCTTTTATTGTAAAACCCATAAAGTAAAGGGAGTCAGTTTCATGCCTGTCTTTCAAACAGCAGGTATTATGCTTCAGAATTATTTTTATTACTTCTGTTAAAGATAATGTTGCCGCCACACACCAGATATAGTGAAGTTGACATTAATATTCTGCATAGAATAGAATGGGCCACTGACTGCTTTTGGTCCACAGGAGTCCTCTGTGGCCTCAAGAGGAGATGTGTGCAGAGAGCAGGCCCTAAGGATTTCTGAGAAGAATTCATGTACCTTTCCGAAGGATAGAAGCGGAAGATTGTTCTCTCATTATTCATCTTCTTCCAGATCAAAGGAAAAATAGAATTCAGTGTTTAAATTTGAGTGATTCTTTTGCTCTGTTTTTTGTGGGTAGACTTCCTTTTTCTTTCTAAAGCTGAAATTAAAACAGCCAATCTCTACTATGCACTTCACATACAAAAAGTGAATTATTTTGACACATATCTGACATACATGATATAAATATATTTTGTTTATATATATTTATATGTAATATATGTACATACATATTCATCAATCATTTTTTTTATATTAGTTCCCTTATCCACAAAACAGGGATAGTAATGGAGTTTGTCTCCTATAGTTGTTTTGGGTGTGGTGTGATTATACTGGATAGAGACTTGGAATTTTGCAGAGGGTCTGCACTCAATAAACCTAGCCTGTTAATATAGTCACACACACATACATGCCATGTTTTCTCACCCAACAAGCCTTTATTGAGTGTAATTTAGGTGACAAGTTTATACTCAGTGGGCATTCAGTTTACACTGGCACACAAATCAGCTCTGCTCTTGCATTCATAGGACACACTTTCCAGTGAAGGAGAAAGACCAAAAAACAAGTTGACAGACAAAAGAAAATAAGTGCAATTTAGAACAAGAGCAGAGACAGAAATAAGCAGGCACAGGGTTTTGGATGGGAGGTAGAGGTACCCTTAGACAGGTGGTGAGGAATGGCCTCTGTGGATATGGAATCAGCCTGGTGACTGGGTGGGGGTGGGGGGGGGAGGCCAGGTGAGATAGAGTGGCTGCCGAAATGCAGGTGGCATGTCTTCATTCTCCACCTCTTTTGCCACACACTAGAAAAAGGGGTTTAGAATCATACGCAGATCCATTTTTACAGATTGATTAAATTGGGAAGTAGCCATAAGTAGGGAACACCTCCAGACCCTTGACTTTCACGCAGGTTGTGAGTTAGTTTTGAGTCGGGGCTCCAGAAGTCATTTGGGATATGAAAATGAAATCAGGTGTTTGTAATAACAAAATCAGTCATTTAGAAATGTGCTAAATCTGACAAAATTCTCTCTTTGCTGGTAGCTGCTTGGGTCTCTAGAGGCACATCTTCCTAAAGTGGGGCTTTTGATTTTAAACCAAGAAAATAAAAATATTACCAACATCTTTGATTTTTCTGAAGAAAAGCTTATATTTTTATGAAAATAAAAGTAAGATGTATTTATATAAAGAACACAGAAAGTCATGAGAACAAAAACTCACCTTGCCTTTGGCAAACCACCACTGCTGTCCCCAGTAATCTCATCAAAGGTAACCATTAACATCTTAGATATGTTTTATAGAAAAAATATAATCGCACCTATCACTGCAGATATTCTGTATGTGCTTGTTTGCGTGTATATTTTCGGCCTTCACAAATATAATTGTGATATATACGTTGCTTTTTAAAAAAGATTTATTTATTTATGCATACAAGAGCTGGGGTATAGGCCAGAGATGTGGGGGGTGAAAGGACTCACCAGAAACAGAGCGGGGAACAGAACAGGCGGACTGACTGAAGTCCACTGCTGAGGGGGAGCAGCAGGCGAGACAGGAGAGGTCTGCTGCGCCATGTGGGTTGCTCCCTGGCGGGCTGGAGGTCAAACTTATGCTGCAGAGGCTGTGGATTGCTTCATAGTGTGGTGCTTAATCCCTTGCACCACCAGGGAGGCCCTATACCTGCTTTTTAACTTTCATATCCTGGAGGCCTTCTGTTGAGTTCATAGAAATGTGTCTTTATTAAAATGGCTGTAGAATGCCCTGTTTCATGAGAATATCACAATATATTTTACCATACTCTTATTAATAAACGTTTTGATTATTTTCCTGCTTATTTTGATTATTTCCTGCTTATTCTATAATCATTCTTTATTCTTCTGTAAAGAATGTTCTAATCAGTGGGAACATTTTTCAGTACACTCAGTTCTTAATAACGCAATTGATGAACAGTATCATGTTAATTTGCTGTTGATGCTGATCATTAATACTTAATTAAACAAAAAATTCGCAGCAATTAAAACTCCCATCAAAATTTCACAATTCTTTGTAACTAGTCTCTCCCTAGTTTCATCAGCTCTGAATATTACAAATTTTTAAAATTCCGTCAATCTGAGAGATGGAAATTTAAGGGGATTTTTATATTTCTGAAATTATGAGTCACCTTAAGAATCTTTTCTGCAGGACTCCCTAGTGGCACAGGTGGTCGAGCACAGTGCTGTGACGCTGTCTGCAGCCTCTGCAGCAGGAGTTCGATCCCGGCCAGCTGATCAGGGAGATACCCACATGGTGCCGCAGACCTCTCCTGTCTCATCCGCTGTTCCCTTCAGCAGTGTATTTTAGTCAGTCTGCCTGTTCTGTTCCCTGCTGTGTCTCTGGTGAATCCTCTCACTCTCCCGCACATCTGGCCTGTACCCTGGTTCTTGTATGAATGAATAAATAAATTTTTTTTTTTTTTAATATTAAATTTTATTTTTATATTCCCCCATACAATTGCAAACGCCCCATTCTGACCCCAATCCTTCCCCTCCCGCCCCCCACCCCCCAAAAAGTGTCTCTGGTTCATAGTTTTTTGTTGATTTTGATTTTCACTTTCTTATATTCATTTTCCTGGTCCCTTATTTAAGTTTTCTAGATTCCTGCTATGAGTGAGACCATCCGGTATTTTTCTTTTTCTTTTTGGCTTATTTCGCTGAGCATGATCCCTTCCAGTGCCATCCATGTTGCTGCAAATTGCATGTGTTTATCTTTTTTGAATGCTGAGTAATATTCCATGGTATATATGTACCACATCTTCTTGATCCAGTCATCTATTTTTGGGCATTTGGGTTGTTTCCAAAGCTTAGCTATTGTAAACAGTGCTGCTATAAACATAGGAGTGCAGGTGCTCTTTGGAATTGATGTTTCTGTGTCCTTTGGGTAAATACCTAGGAGTGGAATTGCTGGATCATATGGAAGCTCTATGTTTAGTAGGTCCAGAAATCTCCACACAGCTCTCCATAGTGGTTGGACCAGTTTGCACTCCCACCAACAGTGCACAAGAGTTCCTTTTTCTCCACATCCTCGCCAACATTTGTTGTTGCTAGTTTTTTTAATATGTGCCATTCTCACTGGTGTGAGATGGTATCTCATGGTAGTTTTGATTTGCATTTCCCTGATTACAAGTGATGTTGAACATTTTTTCATATGTCTGTTGGCCATTTGCATTTCCTCTTCAGAGAAGTTTCTTTTTAGCTCTTCTGCCCATTTTTTGACTGGATTATTTTCTTTGTTGTTGCTGAGTCTCATCAGCTCTTTGCAGATTTTTGTGATCAGTCCTTTATCATTAGTGTTGGGTGCAAAAATGTTCTCCCAGTTGGTGGGGTTTCTCTTTGTTTTTGTTATTGTCTCTTTTGCTGTGCAGAAGCTCTTTAATTTGATGTAGTCCCAGCTGTTTATCTTTCTCTTCACTATCACTGCTTTGGGTGATGTGTCTGTAAAGATGTCTTTGATGTGCAAATCCCGTAGTGTTTCGCCTATATTTCCTTCTATGTATTTTATGGTTTCAGGTCTTATGTCTAGTTCTTTAATCCATTTTGAGTTGATTTTTGTGTATGGTGTGAGGTAGTGGTCAAGCTTCATTCTTTTGCATGTAGCGACCCAGTTTTCCCAGCACCACTTATTGAACAAACTTTCTTTGCTCCAATGCATAGTCTTCGCTCCTTTGTCAAAGATTAGTTGACCATAAATCTGTGGGTTTATTTCTGGATTTTCTATTCGATTCCATTGGTCTGTATGTCTGTTCTTGTTCCAATACCATGCAGTTTTGATGATTATGGCTTTGTAGTAGAGTTTGAAGTCTGGGAGTGTGATGCCTCCATTTCCTTCTTTTTTTTTCAGTAGAGCTTTGGCTATTCGGGGTTTTTGGTGATTCCATATGAATTTCATCAATAATTGTTCTATTTCTTTGAAGAATGCCATTGAGATTTTGATTGGAATAGCATTGAATCTGTATATTGCTTTTGGTAGGATGGCCATTTTAATAATGTTTATTCTTCCAATCCATGAGCAGGGGATGTCTTTCCATTTCTTTGTGTCTTCTTCTATTTCTTTTAACAGTGTTTTATAGTTTTCTTTGTATAGGTCCTTTACCTCTTTTGTTAGATTTATTCCCAAATATTTGATTTTTTTTGTTTCGATAATAAAAGGGGTGGTTTTTTTGATTTCTTCTTCTTCAGATTTATTGTTTGTGTATAGGAAGGCTACTGACTTTTGCGTGTTGATTTTGTATCCTGCCACTTTACTGAACTGATTGATGAGTTGAATTAGTTTTTCTGTGGACTTTTTGGGGTTCTCTATGTATATTATCATATCATCTGCAAATAGTGATAGTTTGACTTCTTCTTTTCCTATTTGGATTCCTTGGATGTCTTTCTCTTGTCTTATTGCTCTGGCTAGGACTTCCAGTTGAATAAATAAATCTTAAAAAAAAATCTTTTTTGCAGTTTGTTGGCTGTTTTTAATAATTTCTGTAAATTACCTTTTTGCATAAGTTTTGTTCATTTTACTATTGGCTTTTTTTTATTTCTGGGTCTTTGTTGGCTAATTTGTACTAACACATGATTTAGAAAATTAGATCTTTGACTATCAAAATATGATGCCAAATTATTTCTTTCATTTGCCATTAATCTTTTAACTTTACTTACATTTTTTGGCCTTTTTACTTTCTTGGTTTTGTGTCACATTTAGGAAGGCCTTTCACATTACAAAATTAAAGAAATATTTCACCATGTTTTCTCCTAATACTTTTATGGTTTCATTTTGTAATTCAAAATCTTTGATCCATCTGGAATTTATTTTGAAATAAGGAGTCATTTTCTTTTCAAAATGCTGAGGCAGTTGTCACCACACAATTTATTGAATAATATGAAAATGACTCAATATTATTCTAGTAAAGTGTATTGGCTCCAATTTTGGAATCAGAAATAACTAAATCCAAACCT